TTATGTTTTTGATGTTGTATATTGGGTCTTGTTTTGTTATCTTTTCCAATTTATTTTCAGTTGATGATTTTATTGTCTCTTAGTTTCTCTAAATATTCTTTTTTGAGGACGGGATGTTGAATTTTATCTATGATTTCAATTATGAACTCTTGGTCTTTTGTTAGCACTTGAATTAGATTTTCATTTTCAGATTCTGAGGAAGATTGAGAGGTTGTTTGGATCTCATCTATTTGTAATTCCTCTGTTGACTCTGTAAGAGTTTCTATTTCTGTTGATGATTCTAGTAGAATTTCATTTAATTTTTGTTCAATTTCTTCTCCTAAGTGGAGTTGATTAATTTTTCTTTTAATTTTACATTATTTAGATATGTGACCTATTTTTCCACATTTAAAGCATTTTATCATTCTATCTAGTTGTTTTGGTTCCTTATTTTTTCTTTTTAGTTTTCTATATTTCTTATATTTTGGTGTTTTATAATATTCTTGGAGGTTTTTCTTATGTTTTCTTTGTTTTATAGGTCTGGATGGACAACAATTTTTTGAAGAGGATTCTTGCCCGATATCAAACTGTTGGCAGAAAGATCCTAATTCTTTTGCACAAAGTTTTCTTTCTCATTTTAATTGTTTTTGTAATTTCAAATCTTGGCATATTTTTAATCCTTCTTTTTGAGTGAAGCTTATCAATTCACCATATGTTAAATTTTCATAAGGAATTATTCCTTTGTAGTTTTCTCGAATTTGATTCCTAATCTTTTCTCCTAACAATGTTGGAAGACCAGCTAAGAATTTTTCCTTCCAAAATGATTGGTTATTATCTAATCTTTGCATTATTCTTGTCATAAACATGTCTTTGTACCATTTGAAGTCTGTTAGTTTTTTGCATTTTAGATTTGATAATAATTCTGAGTTTCTATCCCTAAGGTGAAAAGGATCTCCTATAAAATGTTTTGATATTGAGAATATTAATGTTGCTACTGCATTTTGGATTTCTTCTCCTTGGCTGTCAGTTATTATGTTTCCGTCATTGTCTCGTTTAACAGCTTTTAGGATTTCTTGTTGTTGATTTGTGGAGAGATAATTATCCCACCATCCTTTTAATTATCCTGTGAAACTAGCAACTAACATGTATGCTATTGCCTGATTTGTAACTTGAGCAGTTTGGTTTTGAGTTTTGTATACATTTGAAACCATTGTCATTTGTCGAAGTATATTGAGAATGTTGTATTATGACATTCCATCTATATTCCATTCGTATATTGTGTTTGCATTATACTTGTTTTGAAATGATGGTTTTTCTTCTATATTTATGTCTGGAGCTGTCATTTTAGGGTCATATATTTTTTGAGGTTCTTTCCAAACCATTTTATTAATCTCTTGATTTTCTGTGGAAGAATTAGTTTCTTCTTTTATGGTGTTGATTAGAGAATTTGGATGTCTTTGAGGAGTATCATCTACTATTATTCCTGAGTACTGAGTTTCTAAGGTTTCAAGTCTATTTTCTATTTCATGTAAAAGTTGGTTTTTGGTTTGTTGGTACCTGTTGGGTATTTCAAAAGGTATAAAAGTTGGTTTTATATCTTGTTTTTGGACCAAAGAGGTTGAAGGTCCTTTTTGAATATGGATCGGATGTTGGAGTTTTGTTTTAATTGTCTCTAATTGTCTCTAGTTGTTCAGATATGGTGTGTAAATTTAAATTTGTAAAATTATTTTGTTCTATTATCATTTTGACATCTTTTGAGGTGACAGGTTCGCCTAGGTCTGATGATCTCATTCTTAAAAGAGTTGCCCTTATCCCTATATTTTTATGAGAATATTGTATTTCTGTTAATGGAGGATGATTTGATTCAATTTTCCCTTTATTCGTTTGCCATTTATTTGTAGATTTTAAAGCATTTATTTGTGGTTCTTCATATTCTTCAAACCATTCAAAGAATTCTATCAATATTTTATGTTTTTCCATGAACTTATAATAGTTTTGTAGTATTTCATCTTTCTGTTGGTCATAGTTTTTAAAGTAATTTTTTCTCTTTTGTTTATTTTTATCTAAACAAAATTGTTTTATGCACCACTCTTTGTTAATTTTAAAATCTTTTTCTAATACAAATATTTCTAGATCATTTTCTTAATTTTGGGGTAAGTTTGGGTTGTTGGTGATTGATGAGTATGTTGGGGACATATTTGGAGAATTTAAAGGGGTGTTTTCTTGTCTGTTATAAACAGGTTGAGGTATGTTTGGAGAGTTATTTATGGATTACAGATTTGTCCTACCTGTAGGGGTTGAGGATACAAAGGTTTTGGCTATCCTAAAGTTTGATCCTATGTTTGATGGTGATTCTATATTGAATGTTTCAAATGACCTTCTAGATGGGACTCTTAGAGGTCTGTTAAAGACAAGTTCTACAGAACTATCTCTAAATTGTGCCACATGATTTATTTCTGTATTTTGTATGGGAACCGGATTTGTTGCTTCCTCTATTTTCCATCTATTTAGAAGTTGAACTTCATGCCATTGTATTGTCCTAGGTATGACTATATGAGACCTAGTTATATCTGTTTGGATTAACAATGTTTCTCCTTTTGGACTATGGATTAAAGCTTTAGTGTTTATTACAGAATACATTACTTTGTAATATAATCTGTAAACAACAGTTAAGGGTTCAGATCCAGGCAGTATTTTATAATTATGAGTTTAGATTATGAGTGTTAAGGAATTTAATATGTTTCTGTCTTTCAAAGAAACCATGAAGTTTGGAAAATAGTTAAAATGTATTGGTCCTCTACACAGATTTGTTTCTATTGTTCCCAATGGAGAGTCATTAAATTGGAGATGTCTTTTATCTCTTAGCACGATTAATATTGAGGTATCTAACCCTTCTTTAGTTAATGTTTTTGCTCCTACTTGGATTAGTCCGAAGTGGATATAATTATAATTTTGAGATTTTAGTTTATTAATAGTTTCTTGGTCCAACAATTGAATATTTTCATATTGATTCTGTATGGGGATGCCCTTTTCTTTAGTTTTAATCAGGTATCCACAAAAAGAATTTAAATGTAAAGCATGAAAAGTTGATGTTTGGTAAATTTGATTTTGTGGGACTCTAGGTATTTTCCAATTATCCATTTCTTGGATTATATTTTTATAATGAATATTTTCCTCGTTAATCACTGAGTTTTGAATACTAGAACCAGAACTAGAGCAAGAGGTGTTTCTTAAGAAAGGAAGCATTTTGGATTGCAGATTTTCTTTTCCTACATAAGTGGGTTTCTATGTGTTTGATGATAACTGTGACAATTCTGCCTACGACGAGAAATATGTCCTAACAATGCCCAACCTTGGCTTCTAGCAGATTGTTTTTTAAGGACTCAGCAGGAATCAACACAATATGCATGAAACAACTTCAAACCAGAACTCAGAAAAGAAAATGGAAATCAAAAAGGTTTCAATCAAAATAGTACCTCTTGCTCCGGATTGGCTCTGATACCAAACATCACCAGGAATCGACTCCGGAGAAATGTTCAAGAATGAAAATATAATCTTTTATTGAAAATTAATATTAAAATATTAATATTTTAATTATTATTGAGATTAGTCATGGAGGAGGATTATATGATTAATTTAAGTGGGAAAGACAAAGTAGGAAAGAATTTGAAAGAAAAATGATGTTACGGGGACCCGCATGTCTTTATTAAATAAAGTACAAGCGGGTAAGTATATATTTAAATATTATGGTGACACGTTAATGGGGTGCAAACCTTATATTATATTTGTACACATGTAAAGAAAGGAAAATAGAAGAAAATTAGAATTTAAGGAATGATGGGTTGATTTAATAAAAAGGATGAGAACTTCGGTGGGTTAAATGGTAATTTTATCATTTAGTTTGGTCAAAGCTCCTAAAAAAAGCTTTGACACTTCTTTCTTTTCTCCACGGCTGGCCATCCCATGTGAGATTGTTGGAAATGCAAAATTTATATAAAAAAAAGGCGAGGAAAAAGACGGGAGAAGAAAAGGAAAGAGATAAGAATTGTTACTATACATTGACTAAGTGAAAAGCTTTCAACTTTCTCCTTTGACTTTTACTTTGTTTTCTTTCCACTTGGCTGGCCAAGTAAGACCAACTTTTCCTACTTTTCTTCTTATCCCAATTGGCTTCCGGAACCTTCACTTCTCCATCACTTTACTCATTCTTTTTCTTTCTTCTCAAAAACCACTCTTTCTCCTTTTTTCATTTCTTCAATCCGTGGCTTCTTCAAAGGAAAACCTTGCATCAAGTCCTACCATTTTTATTTCAGGCTCCTTTCTTTTCTCCTCCCTCCTTATGAGTTGTCTTCCTTTTTTCCTCCCCCATAACCGAACATAAGGAGAGCTTGGTGCTTTAGCTTAAAAATTTCAAAGTAAGGAAGGTGGAAATTGTTAGTTTGGTTGAATGCATGCTTTGTAAATCGATTGTAATGTGTGATTATATTTGTGGCAGTAGAGGTAATCTTGGATGTGAAAAGGTTGTGAATTATATTTGAAAAATTCAAACCTAAATCAAGAGATAAGCATGCTAGGTGATTATATTGCATTGTATGAGTTTGATTGGTTAAAGTGTATGGATTGTGTAATAAATGCTTGCAGGGGATGTTGATAAAAAAAATTATGAGATTTAGTTAAGGATTGTTGGTTGATATGATGCCATTTCTCAGTATAATTAAATGTACGGGGTTGAATGATTGCTAAGGAAAGTATAGAAAGTAACGTCGCCAAGGCGGCATGCTGGAGGAAGTAACAAGAGATCGACAAGTAGAAATTAGCTAGATACGTGCTTGAATCAATAGCAACGTAGCGTCCCGCCATTGTGAGGTGAGTAAGGGGTGTCGATTTCCAAATTTCCATATTATATATATAAATATATTGTAACGACCTCTTCCCTCGATCGCTACTGGCGTTTGAGACTTGCGAGTGAACTCGTCAAATCCCAAACAAGTCTTAATTAAATCTCCAATCGACATAAGATATTAACACTATAAATCATTCAAACCAAATATTCACAATAATTAACATATAGCCATTTGATAACTTCATACAACTCATCCTAAGCTTTAGCCATTACATTCCTAGTGACTATTGATTCTTACCAACTAGACTATATGATACACAAACCGACCTCTAGGCAATGGAGTGACCCAAAGTGGAAGTCTGGAGATGTCGGTACCTAAGGTGTCGCCAACCTCGCGATGCTGAACAAAATCCTAAAACTAATTACTTTTCTGCAAAAGAAAATAAAGTGGGGTGAGTCTCACAGACTCAGTGATCATCAACCACGTGAGCAGGGTGTAGATGGGAAACAAGCTATAGGCAGAAGATTTGAAGATTTAGAAACATAAGAGTATATATAAACAATTTATTCAAAAGGAAGATTTGTACCTTATATGCAAATGAGTAAGTTTGTGCTAATTAATCATTCAACAACGGGTTTAAAGTAATTAACTGTCATCATGCATGCTCTCGAAAAATTCAATATGTTACAAGCTTACGCATACATTCATAGTTCATTTCATGCACAAAGAGTTAAATCAATGTCATCCCATAAGTAAGGGGAGCAGTAGAAAAAGTATTATTTTTCACCGTGCAACAATTAATTACGTGCAAAACTCAAAGAGATATCACTCTCGAGTAGGTATAGAAATAAAAGCACATGGACCAGCATCCACATCATAACATCCGAGAGCTCCACTTCACTGGATCCCCACATGCCATGGTAATCTCAACAATGTTGGTAGACATCGGAGATATCAGGCAGTCACAACCGCCCATAACAATTTGTGGCCTAGCCACATAAAATCATAGACCATGGCCGCA